TGTCCGTGCCCAACATTTATTATTCAAAGGCTATTATCAGTCAAATCCATTCTAATCTTTCTTAACTTACATGGGGGAAAAAAACCCAGTCTTTGCTTAATGACACCTTCCCATTATTTCAAATCAAAAGTTGGAGGGGAAGTTCCTGTGATGAGAGATGGAAGAGATCCATTCTTCAGCTCGTTCAATAGTGTTTTACAGTGCTGTCTTAATGAAAGAATTTAAGCTTGAGCCATGCACTAAGTCATTTGCTTTTGTTTTTCTTTTACCTTCGGCCAATGATCAGACCTGCTGCTCAAACACAGTAAAATTTGCTGCATGAATAATGAATGATGCTGATGGCCATCTTGGACAGCTGAAGCTCCAAGCTGTGGCTCTGCCCAGCCTTTCTGAGATCCCAGCAAAAATCCAAAGTTCTCAAACTCTGCCTGATCAAAATAGCTGGACAGTGGAAAAGCAGAAGTTACACAGGACCAAGAGGTCCGAAATGAGGACTGGAGGGTCAGAGGCAGCTGGATAGAACAGCTGCACGTTGCCCCCTCGTTGTTAGCTATGATAACGGGCATCCCTTAACAGTCTGCTAGAGGGATCTAGCAACTAATCACAACTTAGTTTTCCACTTTCCAGAGGGCACAAGAGACCAAAGCCAGCCTCTGAAATAAGCATTCAACGAGACAATGTCTTTCTTTGGTGGCCTGCAATTTATTCTTTGCTCTTCTAGCAACTACCATTTTATTTCATTTTAGTTACTTTTTTTACCTCCCTAACAATCTGTTATTTTTGATTATTCCCTCAGGAAATGGTTGCACTGATAACTTATTTTTGGCAACGTTATCACTTAAGACACCTTTCAGATGAATGCCACTATGAGGGCATAATGCCTAGCACTGGCTAGGCACATACTCATTAAACAGTAACAGATTTCATGTCAATTACTTATAATTTAGAATGTCTATAGAAGATTGTATGGCTGTTTATGACCTATAACAATTCGCTACAAAAAAGATAAACAGGTTATTATACTAACCATTGATTATATGATTGGAGTTTTGGGTTAAAATATTAACAGATTTCACTGGAGAGGGAATTGGTGCCAGTTAATTCAGCTCTGTGTTGTTATATTACTTAATATATTTAACTGAGTATAGAATTAGGCCCTAATCATGAACATCCTTATGTTTATTACTTCAGTCAAGTAGGGCAGTTCTTAGTTCATGAATGCCACAATATCTCTAAATATTTCCAGTATCAGGCTCTAAATATTTGTGCTGATTAATGCAAAGAAAGCACAACAGTGAATTTTGTATTGAGATCTTTACAGACAGCATTTTCAGATCCTTATTTAGACAAAATACATGTGGTTGAATTTTTCCAAGGTTCTGAGCATCTATGTGAAATCCTCAGAAGGAGGAAACTACAGATCACAGACTGCAGAATGAATGTTTGCAAACCGGTCTGCATGTAACCATCTCCCGTTAGACCCAGTGAATCCTTAGTCTAACGCTCTATTTGCTGCCATACCCCACATTTCCAGCCTCACCCAAAATAATGAATTGTAAAAAAAGAAAGAAAAACATTCAAAAAATAAATTAAAAATATAACTCCTACTTCAGCCAGAATTTTGATTCTGGAAAAAGGAGGACTGTGAGAGGATTCATGATGTCTATAAATACCAGTGTTGATGCAGAGGGCCAGTGAAAGTGGTCAGGTGCTCTGCTGTGTAACACAGCAGTAGGAAACTGGTCCTACATAATGTTTTAAATATTGATTTCTATGCCAAGCTTTGGGACATATGTGTCTAGAGAAATTGACTCTCACTATATCTCCATCTGTCAGACAAGCCTTACAATAACGAACTATCTCAAAGGGAAGGCACAAGGTTTAAATTGTATTTTTTAAGCATTAAGAGATCGACCCCATGAAAGCCAGTAAGTGCAAAGGCATATTCTTTTGTAGTAATGTAACTTTTTCATGTCTATATATATAATTTGTTAACAACTTCTATATTTTTATTTAGGTATTCAGTTTACAAGGATCCAGCAGGCTGGCTAGAGATTAACCCCACCAATGGCACCATTGGCACCACTGCTATCCTGGATCGGGAATCTCCTTATGTTCAGAACAACATATACACTGCTCTCTTTCTGGCAATAGACAGTGGTGAGTAACCATTATGGATCATATTCATTAAAATATATGACTTTTTTCTCTGCTTCAAACATACTGTTCAGAAATGTGCACGTGTGCAGTTAAGCCCACGCTTCAGCACTTTGCTAGGTGGGCACCTAAAGGTATTAGAGATCATTGTGACAAACAGGAAATAGAGGAATTAACTTAAAACTTCAGACTGAGAAGAGCTTTGATTTAAGGTTGCATCTCACACATTTATTCCTCCACTGAGATCTTAATGCTAGATGCAAATGGTCTATGAACATTCTTAGAAAGTAATAAATCATCTTTATCAGAGTTAATTTCCTCATAATATTTGAGGATTTAGTAAGCCTAAGGCACCTAAATACCAATAACAACTCATCCCTGATATGCTGAATTCTATTCTATTCAATAGAGTGACAATAAAAACATAAGTAAAAACCCTTGTTAAAATGAAAATTTTTTATATATTGTGTGGATTAAAGTTCCTTCTGTCAAATATAATCAAAATTAAACTATCTAGTGAAAATTCAGTGAGTGACTTTGGAGCAGAGAAAGAAAGAGAAAACCCTGAACATTCCAAATCTCCAGAGCTAAAGGCTCAAAATAAATAAAAGATTTGTCTGTAATATAACAACTAATATGCTAACGCTTTTCACAGCTGCAGCTGGTTTAGCCCTGGTGATGAATTGTAAAATGTTCTTTTTAGGAGAGTAATTCTACATTTTTGTAACCACATGACTCAGGGAACATTTGCAGGGCCTGACAGGAAAAAGAAAATATCGCCTTAAGTATAAAAGAAAAAAAATCTGCTGAGATGGTGTTTTACTTAGATATTCATATACATATTTTTCTTCGGAAATTTCCATGGTAAAATGTAGCACTAAACTTATTTCTGTCTTTTACTTGCTATTGAATAAAGATTTTTTAAATGCATCTTAAAATCTGGTACACTGGGAAATGTCATCTTACAATGAAAGTAAAAATTCAGGATAATATTATTGGGGGATTATCAAAAGGACAAAGTTGCATATGTTTTAAAGGTGGAGTCAAATATCCTGAAAGAGAATAGATGGAACAAGAAGTTGAATGTTTCCAACTGTGAAAACTGAATGAAAAGTGGATTTTTTGGGTATACCTTTATGTTGCGCTTAGGGCAGTAACACGCATTGCTCATCTATTTTAAGCCAAGAACCTCACTGCTGGGTGACCCCTCCTAATTCCCAGATTTTTTTTCCATTCTGAAAACGTGCGAGAAGGGAAAGGTGTCTGTGCGCTGAACAGCAGAGCAAGAGAAGATATTTAATGTGGGTTAGAGAAAAGGAATCCTGTTCAGTTGAGGTACGGAGTCAGCACGTAATTCAAGCTGCTGTTCCTGTGTTTATTTGTAATTCTGCAGTACCGTGAGCGCAGGAGCTAATCTACTCCAACGTTATTGACTTCTTTGAATGAAGTAATTAGAAACCACATGTGTGCATTTAGTACTGTCATGCGAAGGTGTTAATAATGATCATTCAGGAGTATTGTACTGCTTCACTGTATGTAGCTCAGCCACATGTGGAAGTGGCAATAAATTGCGAACTTAAATAGCTGGTATTAACCTTGTGGTCTGTATCACTCTTGGATTAATTAGCAAACAGCTTGTGAAACACAGTAAACTTAGAGGCGGGTTGATAACTGGAAAAATTATCCACTGGTCTGTATAAAAATATGAGAGTGGAATTTGTGGGCACGGAGAGGAGCAGGAGCTCCAACCTCAACCTCAGTGACACACAGATACCTGCCTCTGGCCACACCTGGTCGGGCGAGCGGTGCCGGGGGCCGCGCTGCCCTTGGGGCAGGCCTGTGGTGAGACAGGAGAGCTGCCCTTCGCACACGGTCCGCTTGCAGTTTGGTTGCTGTCTTTGCACAGCAAGTGTAAAGCTGCCAGTCTGAACTCTCAATCTAGACCCTGTGGCTACAGCAGCCAAGAAAGTTTTATAATTGATTTCCACGGGTAGGTTTGGGGGTCTGCCTTGTCCCCCGTAGTTGTGACTGGGACTGATAATATCCCTGGAAGGTGTTCCCCAACTTATTTCCAGGCCACGGATAATGCTAACCAGCAATGCTGTGAAAGCCACCTCATTTTTTCTAGCCGTCATAGCTAATGTCCATCTTGAAAAGGGTTATTACACTAGATGACAAGCCAAATGGTAGTAGAATAATATGAATACAGAATCCTTTCAGGACTTTAAAAGAAGTTTATGGCAACTTAAAAAGGAAAAAAAAAAAAATCAGATGGAACATAACTGTATGCATTCTCTTTAAAACAGCACTTTCCACAAAGTGCAAATTGCTTTCTTCAGGTTAGTAAGTGTAGCCGATCTAATACCAGTGCATACGGTTAGGACTTTCATGTGAGAGGGCACCCAAAGGCAGGATTAAGAATTGCCAAATGAGATAGAGTGGTAAATTTAAAATCTGGAAATTGGCATTTCCAATAGAGCAAGTCATTTGCTTAGGCTTACAGGATTGGGGCAAAAAAGGAGAAGAGGAAAAAAAAAAACCCAAATGTACCTGATCCACCTCCCCCCGGGTTCAGTTTCTGGCAGCACTAGCAGGAGTTTCAGCAGCGTTAAGGTTGTTACTTGTCAGTATAAGGGATTGCAAACACGATGTTGGCTGGGGAAGGGTGTCTGTGAGTTGTGCGCTAATTTGTAACAGTATTTACCATAAGGTGAGTTTCTAAAAATCAGATAAAATCTTCTACCTTAGACCTTGCTAAAGGACCTTAGACATTAAATAAACATATTATTTTCTATTAGTATTTAGGCATATAGGTTTTCTATAATTACAGAAAAGATACTGTGGTCCCAACATATTCCATGGTCACCATTTTTTAAGAAGACCTTACGTTCCTCTGCTATCTTGGGTGAAGAGTGGAGACAGCTGAAAACAAAACTCACAGTGGTACTTTTTTCATTGCCTTTCACTGATGTCAACAGAGTCCCTGTCACTGGATTGAGCAGACGCTGCCGCCTTGTTATTACGCTTCAGTGCAGGGGACAAGTGCCGGCGCATTTTTCTTATTTGTAAAATGCTGAAGATTTTTGTCAGAAGTAAAACCAGGAGCATCATGCTTGGTAGTTCTTTTATATAAATCTATCACATCTTTATCTTTTTTCAGTAAATCACAAAACTATTCTTTACCAGCAGGACAGTAACCATGAATGGACCACAGAAAATGGAGTCATTCCGCTGCAGGAAATAATTTAGTTGTATATTATATTCTTTTTGAACTTTATTATATTATTTTTCAGCATTATCAAATTAACTGCAGAGAAAGGTAGTTAAGTATAAATTATGTTATTTCTGATCTAAATAGTTCCTGTACCTTCCCAAACATAATTGAAACAATGTGTAAGAGCAAATTTGATGGACACAGTATTAATTTTATAGATGATAAAGTTTGACCTTTTATTGGGGGAAATTTCACTTTAAAAAGGACTTTTTGGAATGAATATCCTAATTTTCTCTGTACTTTTGATTTCAGTAAAGGTCAAGGTAGTGTCTTTAGAATTTGAAAACTCTTTATTAAAGACTTGTGTGGACATAGAGCCTGTGGTCTATTAAAGAAGAAATTAAACACTGGTAGGAAATATCATGAAGCAGAGTTAACACATTAAAGTGTCATGAACTGTGTTTAATCTGAGAATGAGCTCATAATGGGACAAAGTCAGGTTTATGCAAACTTGGAAGACATCGGAGGTTTCATTCAATTATCAAAAGTGCCAGTAATGGCGATCATTTTATTTCCTGAATTTAGCATTTAATCACTAAAAACAATGCAGTATCACAAGCATACAGTGCAATTATTGGGAGTATATCTCTAAAACACACATATGTTAAATACAGACAAGAAACCATTTGAGTTTGAGAAATCTGCTTGGAACAGATCTGCTGCGTGACCATGTTGTAGTGTCATCCTACAGATTCTGTTATACACTGGAGTATTTGGGATGACTATCATTAAACAGAATACCTATTTTTTTTTTCTCATAAGGTCAGTCATGCTAAAAACTCTCCAGGAATGGTCCTTTTTCCCCTGTATTCTGAGAGTTTGGGTCGCAATTTAGAAAAAGTGAGAGAGGAGAGAAAAACATGAACATTTTGGAGGTGAAGCTAAAAAAATCTGGAAAATTTGTGAAATCTGTAAAAGTTAAAATTGGTTTCTCCCTTTCCTTTAAGAGGGAGGAATAATAAAATATATCCAGATTTACCTTAGTTGTGCAATAATCACTCATGTTATTGTGGAGGGGCATGATACCCTAGATAATGTCCCCATTGTGTAGCTTTTTCTGTCTCTTTAGAACAAAAACTTTGGTCACCTTTGCCTGATACATGGCAAAACCACTTTTGCTGTTCAATTATGTCAGCTGCTGGTGACAAGTGCTGAAACAGTAATAGCCCCAGGCTTGCTGATTTGGCTAAATGCAGTTATCAACTTCACTTTTCTCATGCCACCCTGGTGCAGTACCACCCACGCAGAGCCAGGCAGCAATGTTCTCCCATCAGACAGATACTTTCTCCTAGTCTAAGTGTGACATCTTCCTCTCCTGCTATGCTCATCACCAGGGAACTACTGAGACAAAAATTGGGAATATAAGTACTTCTACTACATTAAATAAAGAGGAAGACAAATGTCATTAAAATCACAGCATCTCTTTCAGATGTTAATCAGAGACGGAGTTAAGGGTTAAAAATTTTAACTGATACAGCTTTAAATGCACTAAATCACAGTAAGCACTGCTTCTTACAGCAATACTGCATGAGTGAAAACATGTTTTCTTTTCTGAAAGTGGTTTGCCCCCTACATGGCATCACCATCCCCGGCGTTTGCATGGCAGCCACCCCCAGTCACAGGGACGATGTCCAACAGGAGGGCTGAGCTCCAGGGAATAAGCTTGAGGAGCAGTAACCTCTATTTAATGGGGCATACATATTTGAGCAAGGTAAAGGTTAAGAGATAT